CGTCCTAAAAGATGAAAATACCCCTCTTATAGACTGATTCTTAAATTGTCTTCTAAGTGTGTGACCTGTAAGCTCCTCATCATATCGGTAGTGAGTAGTATCTCAATTAACTCCAATTAATCGTCTCACTACACACAGACCAAGATTGGCCCCTAGCAAGGCATCATGGCCACCCGATAGATTCGGATTCAGCGAAATCGCAGTCTGTCAATGATATGGTTACCGTGTAATTAAATCCTTTCGTTATCCATTATCTCATCGAGGCTGAGGTACAAAAATAGTGTCAACCTCAGATATCCTCGATATCTTTGTATTCAGTTACTGGACCAATGACCGGAATAATAAATTAGATTAAGCAACAACTCAATCTCACTGTGGCCACAACTTTAGTGTCATTGTCATTCACTAAATTGCGTTGCGAGATAACCTCTGCCGTACCCGAGAGTGATGAATCATTTATTGATCCACCATAGTCTTGATATACTTCTCAATGCAGCCAATCACTACCGTATTGATAGCTCTGAATAGAACTACGTTAGGCTAGTATAAAACTACACCAATCGGTGCACAAGACGCTCTGGTGATCTCAAGTCTAAGGATTAATCATTCGTTAGAGGATTTATTCCATAGACACTGGAGTTACCATCTATATGGAATCCTCTAGTGGGTTTGTCCAGTGAACTTGCCTATAGCAAGCGGGTATGTGTCGCACCAGGTTGTCAGCAAACAACCTTGACAAGTGAGATCAGTCACTGTCTTTTGACAGGGTCGTTCAACACTATGATAGCCTTACCGTATTATCTGTGCCCTTAGTCAGAATAATACTAGGACTAGAATGGCCACCATATGTGATCATAAGGTTCTCACTATCAAGATTTGAAACACTTGATACTCTCGTCATAGTTCTACCATCCTAAAGATATATATCAATACATGCAATTACGATTTACATGATATAGAGAAAATTTGTCTTTTATTGATTAATAAACATTATTATAAATAGTCAATTTTACAATAATTGATTGGCTCTAGGGCACCAACTCTAACAAACATGACTTGCAATCCACGGTGAGAGAAGAATTAATTGAGCTTTTGTGGAGTCTCGATATGCAAAAACTATTAAAGGCTAAGCCTTTATTTCCATAGTTCTAGATAACCGATTCTGAGATGACATTGGTATAATTTCCAAAGTTGTGAGTCATTTGATGCGTATGCTTCGGATTGTAGACTCATATGAGAGGCCTTCAATAGAATATATGTATGATGCCATGGACAAAACGAGGATGGGGATCAAGAAGCTGTTTAAGAATAAGAAAAATTTGTATAAGCCTTATACAACAATTATTAAGATACGATGGGATAGGATGTTGCACCATGATATTCATGCAGCAGCATATTATTTGAATCTTGCTTTTAAATATGACAAAGATACTTTTTCCAAAAAAACCAGAGGTCATGTATGGTTTCCTTGACACTATTGACAGTAAAGCAAGTGCATTCAAAATGAGCAAGACAACATTACTGGAGGAGAGTAGATTATATCAAGACCGTCTAGAAAGGTTTTCTCATGAGCTTGCTCTTCAAACTTGCAAAACTGCACATCCTGATATTTAATAGTTATTAACTTTTTAAGTCTAATATTTCAGTTATGAAATTGTGTTTATTTCTTATGTTTTATACTTTTATTCTCAATTAGATGAATGGTGGAGGACGTTTGGGTTTAGTGCTCCAAATTTGCAAAAGTTTGCAATCAAAATTCTAAGTGAAACTTCAGCCTTTTCCGGATGTGGCGAAATTGGAGTGTTTTTTAATGCATACATACTAAAAAAAAAGGAATAGATTGGTGCATCCACGGTTGAATGATCTAGTTTTTACTCATTATAAATTGCGTTTGTAAAATAGGTATAATGCCTTTATCATTTTTCTTATTAGTTATTATCTCTTCTTTTATTTTCATTGATGTCTTTATTGGTCATGATTTTAACATTTAATTCTGCTCTTTCAGGAGTTGTTACAAGAAAATTACTTATGATCTTGTTGACTTTGAGAGTATTGATAAAACTAAATGGTGGCTAGTTGCTGAGGAATGGGAGGTTGGTGAACTTAATTATGATGAACTAGAACAATCATTATATGGAGAATGAGTTATTCCTATAGATGGTGGTGATCACCCTTCTTATTATGACTCAACAGATACTTTAGAAGGTTGTTTCCAATTTTTTAAGCAATTTGAATTTGGTAGTAGCTAGTTTATATTCGATTAGTTTAAATGGGAAGATTTAACTTATGATTTTCCTTTTTTGCTAAAAATTTTTGTAGATGATGTTGCCGATGTTAATAATGATGATGATCATCTGTCGAATGGTGTGTGAACTGTGAAGTTCAATTGAGGATGGAATGAGGATGATCATCTGTCAGATGGTGTGTGAACTATGAAGTTCAATTGAGGATGGAATGAGGATGATCATCTGTCAGATGGTGTGTGAACTATGAAGTTCAATTGAGGATGGAATGATGGATTGAAGACCATTGGGTGAAGATCATTTTTTGCTAGAATGTTGATCAACTATTATGTGATTTCTTCCTTAATTTTGTTATTTTGGTTTGCAATTAATTGTAACGGGGATTGTATTGATGTAATGATGTTTGATGATGCTTTGCTAAGAACTTTTTATTTAGGAATTTTTGATTTGGATCCTGATTTGAGGTTTCTGGAATTCTGGAGAATCTGAACTCTATGAATAGTAATTTTGCTGATGTCAGCATGATGACATCGCCAGTTGAACTAGCCGGTTGAACCGGTCGACCTGAGACCCGGCCAACTTGTTGGGTTTTGCCCCGAATCAGTTTTTAAAACATTGGTGTTGAACCCATTGACTCAGAATCCTGGCTACATCCCTGCCAGAGACTAGTTGAGGTGCACGCAATGTGAGTTGAACCCTCAGTTACAAAAATATATATATATATATATATATATGAATTTAGCAAAATTGGAGGGGTACATATTGAATTTAATAAAGGGTAGAAAATGAGGGGCAGGTGCCCCTGCTTGCTTTCCTATAGATTTGTCATGCTTCATTTAATATATATTTTATTATGATTAATATGATTGGTGATTGAATATTTAATATTTAATATTTTTCTAATATAATAGGCTCTTTCGAAATTAATAGATTTATTTTAATTCATTGAATATAAATATCTACATCATATACCAAATAATCGCATAACTTACATGATAATTTGGTATATATCACATAATTCACATGATAATTATACATGATAATTATAATTTTATTTTTTAGATTGTAAAATTTTATGTATATATATATATATATTTTTTTCATGTAAATTAACACATAAATAAATCATAAAGTAAAATAATAAATGATATTAATACTAGTAGAGATTTCGTGTATACAAATGCAATATTTATTTATTTTGTTAATTTAGGTGTCTGAGTCAGCTTATAAAAACTCAATTAATCCTTATAAAAAGTTATTCNAAAAAAAAAAAAATCTTTATTATCTTCCAATAGTGTTTAAAAATACAGCGTGTAGCTGTTTAAGTGATTAAAAATGCAGTGTGTATGTGTTGAAGAATTTTTTATATTTTTCTTGAGGGCCTTAATTAATGTTCATATTAAACATGTGTTGCATTCCTATTGGTTGTACAATGTAAATATACCAATTTTCTTTTCTTTTTGGGAAACAGCAATGAGTTAGTGTTTGGCAACTACAAGCAAAACCTGCCCTACAACTTTAAAAAGCTGTGGGCAATATACATGAGGACTGTTTCGATCTAATTCATATACCTAATTAACAACCAGAATTGGATTCTATTACAATCACAGTTAGTAACTAGAATTTTTACAAGTCAAACTTCAAAAAGCTAGTTTGGTCACTTATGTTGGCACCTAATTATAAAGATATCCAATCCAAAGAGAGAAAAGATCAAATTAGTTGCCACTCAATTATTACCATTCCCACATCTTGTCTCCTTGTTTCTTCATTTTTATTTTTATTTTTTTATAATCAGGGATGTCAAGGTCAGATTACGCGAACATCAACTAATCCTACAAAACACTAGAAATACAGACCGAGTAAAAGTTACAATGGCTACCATTATTAACAAACAATGAGAGACTAGAACTCAAACTCAGGACCTCTTGAGTAATACAACCAAGAGCTCTATTGGTTAACACTTGTTTCTTCATTTCATTCACCACAACCCCTCTAATATTTTTTTTTCAAAATAACAATCACAAGTCTCGCCGATAACTTCAGAATCAGCTACTTGCAACACAAATATCATTTAAGTTTAATATTTTAGAATGTTTTTAAGTTTAAAATTTGTAACTTAAAGGCCCTTCCCTAAACACGCCTAAAAGGTAATCCAATATTTTCATTTTAGCCCATACACAAATCATTAGTAGGCTCTTTAGTAATTTTCTTAATTCACATCCTTTGTCAGATCCACGAGAAATATTTATATGGACAGTCTCACCACCTCACTTTGGTGACGGATGGGAACATCCAATAACATAATAATGTGTTGTCACATATTATGCTAACCTAAATTAGTTCTTTTATCTCTAATTTAATAAGTAAAAAAATCTCCTCATTTTTTCCTCGATACTTCAGATACATCTGGACCGGGTAACTTCATAATCAACTATTTACGATATAATTACCATTAATTTTATATAATTGAGTGTTTTTAAGTTAAAGATCCACGTGGTGACCATCCTAAAAGGGTATTCTATAATTTTTTCTACTTTATAGTAGTACGTATAGGGAAAGCATAACCATCTATCTCTACACAAATCATCATGAATGGCCTTGTTAGTAATTTTCTCGGTTAACTTTCCCGGGAAAATGACACACAAACCCCTTGAAAACTTTTCCCTCGTCTTTTCTTTTTTCTAGTTTTTGTAATGTGGGGAAGGTGTTTCTGTCATGATGAGGCACCAAAGTGTTTTGTTCTTGGACTTCTAAGGACAATATAAGAGAGTGGTCTCCACTCTATTAGTGTGTTAAATTCTTTCAAAAAGCACCCCACTGATCTTCAGCTTTTTCAGTTTCCACTTTCTTCTTCAAACAACTTCTGAATTCTGATCACACTTACCATCAAAATCCTGAAACCAAGAAAAATGAAAGGAGTGAAGGGAAGATTCATGAAGAAATTGAAGTTTGCTTCAACCATCAGTTCCCTCAAACAATCAGGCCAAGCCTTTCACAAAAGCCCCTTAATAAAATTTCCCAATCAGAAAAATCCCTCCCTGGATATTTACAGAGAAGAAGATGAAGAAGAAACTCCACTGAAATTCCATGAAATTCCTGACAAAGAAAACTCCAAACCCACCTCGGAATCCATCGAAACTGAATCGATATCTCTTTCCGATTTTGAAGAGAAGTGTCCTCCAGGAGGAGAAGACTCAGTAATTTTTTACACAACAAGCCTGAGAGGAATAAGAAAGACATTTGAAGATTGCAACACCGTCAGGTTTTTGTTAGAGAGCTTCAGGATTTCATTCCAGGAGCGCGACGTCTCGCTCCACATGGAGTTCCGAGATGAACTGTGGAGATTGCTGAGGGGGAGAGCGATTCCTCCGAAACTTTTCATTAAGGGGAGGTTTATCGGAGGAGCTGATGAAGTTGTGACGCTGCACGAACAGGGAAAGCTGAAGACAATCCTGGAAGGAATTGAAGTTTTGAGCCTGAATAGCGCCGCCTGTAATGGCTGCGGAAACATTAGATTTGTGGTTTGTTTGAATTGCAATGGAAGCTGCAAGGTGTTCAAAGATGGCGATTCTGAAGAAATTTTCATTAGATGTTCAGAATGTAATGAAAATGGATTGGTTAAGTGCCCCATATGTTGCTGAAAAATTAATCAAGCTTAATGTAATGTAATGAAAATTGTAAATTAGATTATGTTTTTTTAAGATTAAATTAATAAAAGAGTAAATTTTAATGTATGCATGGTTTTAATTTGATTGATAATTATTGGTCTCTTGACATTGTAACACAATTCTATTTTAATGTTTTTAACTCTTCTCTTTGTATGTTTCTATGTTGAAAGATTTTGGGTTTGTAAAATTCAGTGCTTAGAGGATATGAATTTTTGTCACATTCAATTGTTTAGATAGAAAACTACAAAATCTTTTATATCCCAAAAAAGGGTTATTTTCTTTGACGGAAAATAATTGCTATACAATTATAACAATTTGATTACTAAGTTAGGGGTGAGCATTAGTAAAGTGTAGAACCGGAACTAGCGGGTACCCACTCATCGGTTTTGGTTTTGAAAAATTGGAACCGAGAATTCACGAGTCCGATTTCAGTTCCTACAATGTTGGAATCAAGAACTGAAACCGAAACCAAGGTCTGGGTACCCAAGTAGGAACTGGGATGAATTGTTATTTTTTTAGGTGTGTTTGTCATTTTTTAAAAAGTTGGGGTAATTAATTAACACGGGTACTCGGAACTGAAATCGAAACATGTGTTTCAACTTTTGGTTCTAGGTTTCTAGGAATTGGAACATGCTGGTTTCGATTCCAAATCTTAGGAACCGATCAGTTCTAGTCCCGATTCCAATTTCAGTTCCTTCAAAAAATGCAAAGCATACGGAACCGATCACCCCTAACTAAGATAGTATCAGTATCAGTATAATGATAATGTGTTAGTTTCTTGGGAAAGTCTGTAATCTACATTATCTGAGAAAGTTGGTAGAACATCAATGATATCAGTATCATCACAAGCTAATACATGCAAACCACCTATAATTTTTTTCGCTGTCATTTATCTTTATGTTAAATGTGATTGGTATGTTATAAATTTTAATCTATGAGTAGCAAGTATGCATTGGCTTGCGGTAACCCGTCAATGTGGTACTATCGTAGTATCATACTTAGAGATATCTCCTAAAGAATGAAAAAAAATAAAAAATAAAAATCGAACATCACAAAGGTACTATGTTAGTCATATCATAAGCCAATGAATTTATGTCACTTTATAATTTAATTTTTTTCTCTTTCATTTATCTTTATCATTAATATGACCCATTATTACATAATTGAAAATCTATATGTCGTGTATTTATTGGCTTGTTGTACTACTGATGATATGATACTTGAATGTTCTTTGTCAATTTTCCAAATCGGAGGATGTATTATAATTAGGCTAGATTGAACAAAGGGTCACTCAATAAGGTAGCAGAACGTTAGAAAATTTATGGGAAGTTAGATAAAGAAGGATGAAATTAAGTTGATGAGTAAAAAAACAAGTGAAAAGTGGTTTAATTTTGAGATAAATTTGAACTTACATCATTGTCAAGATAAGCTTGGAATAATTAGTAGGGAAGGAACGGAGCATTGCACATGGCTCATTCCTTAGAAAAAGTCACTGGCTGGTATCAAAAGTTGATGAAAAAATAAATACAAATAAAACGGTCGTGTGACCTTATGATTATGCACAAGGTCAAGAGTCAAGGCACTTTTTTTATAATTCTCTCTCTATGAAATAATGTAACAATTTATATCTAGTTTATTTGGAACTTCATTAAATACTTAATCTCAAATCATAAAAATCATTATAACATATCATTAAATATTCATAGACCTTCTGTACACTGTGATAAATCTTTCTTATAAGATATTTAAATGATTTTATTACTTAAAAGAATAAATCAAAAATAATATTATATATATAAAGTTTGGATTCTAATCACTATTAGGTAGTCTGATGCTAAAAGAGCAAAAGAGGATCTAAGTTTGTATGTCTCCCAAGTTCGAGTCCTCGCAGCGCCTAATAGGAGTGGTCATTAAAGCTTGTATCCAGCCAACAGTTTCAGAGTTTCGGGGATTAGTTAACTTACCCGTAAGTTGGCCCATCATAAAAAATAAAAAAAATAAAAAAAAAGTCTAGATTTTGACTTATACAATTGGTTATTTATCATACCATATTAATTTCAGAGAAAATAATATTACGTTATACAATCTTTAAAGCAATGTAATGTTGACACATCAATTAGCATTTCCACGCTATATATATAATATTATCATTAAATCAAACATTAGAAATTAGAAATTAGTTTTACCCTAATTTTAATTAAAGTGCAATTCAAAATGTTTAAGTGGTTCATCCTCCACAAAATCATGCTAATTAGATGAGTTGGAAGCATATGGGCAAAGAAATTATTTTAGTCCTTTTGGCATAAGACAGAAAAAGGAGGCTAAAACTTTATTTATAAAAAGTCACTGGCTGGCATCAAAAGTCGATGAACAAATAAATAATTATAAAAATAAAAAAGGTGGTGTGACATTATGATTATGGAAAATGCTACCCCCAATGTCATCTCACAACTTTAATGTGATAGCTCGCAATTGGTCAGTTTGTAATGGGTCTCACCTAATAAATTACGTCTGATCAATTGTGAGATGTTACATTAGAGTTGTGAGAATAGATTATAAGTATAACATTACTTTAAGATTATGTATAAGGTCAAGACTCAACCTTTTTTTTTTTTTTTAATTCTCTCTCTATAAAATAGTGTGACAATTTATATCTAGTTATTTGGAACTTCATTAAATACTTAATCACAAATCATAAAAATCATTATAACATATCATTAAATATTCATAGACCTTTTGTACACCATGATAAATCTTTCTTATAAGATATCTAAATGATTTTAGTACTCGAAGAATAAATCAAAAGTAATATTATACTTATAAAGTTTGGATTCTAACTAATATAGTTGATTATTTATCATACCGTATTAATTTCAAAGAAAATAATATTACATTATACAATCTTTTAATTAATGTGATATAGACACACCAATAACCACATCAATTAGCATTTCACCTCTGTATGTATAACATTATCATTAAATCAAATATTGGAAATTTTTTTTACCCTAATTTTAATTAAAGTGCAATTCAAAAGGTTTCAAACAATCACTAGCCTTGTGGTCGATCAGCAAGACTTTAGTGATCTAGGTGAGTTACCCAGAGTTTTTGTGTTCGAGTCCCAAAAAGTAGCTACCTACTACATTTGTGACTTACCTAGTTCATTAAGCTTGTAGAGTGTTCAAAAGACCCTGGAGATTGGTTGAGGTACACATAAGCTGACCCGGACACCCCTGATTATAAATAAATAAATAAAAAGGTTTGAATTTTAAAACATAAGTTTGTGGTTCATCCTCCAACAAAATCCTGTTAAATAGATGAAGAAATTATTTCAGTCCTTTTGGCATAAGACAGAAAAAGGAGGCTAAAACTTTATTTATAAAACAGTAAATGCCCTGTTGGGACCAAATTAAAATGTAGCAATAAGGCAATTTCTGCCAAGAAGCTACAGGAAATTATTTGTTTGGTTTATATTATGGTCTTAGGGGACCATGGTCAAGCATTGGACCACAACCCAAGGGTGAAAATTGGCCTGGTATGTTACCGGGTTAGTAACATAATACGATCCTTAAAAAATGATAAAATTTCGATTTAATAGTTGTTGTCGTTATTTGTCTGGTAACAAAATCCTACCAACAAAAAGAGTTGTTCCCCTTCATTTGGATTCAATCGTTGTAAAATTGATATAACATTTAGAATCATGTACAAATAAAACAAGATAAGAGAGAAAATAATAATACAAGTACACGTAAATTTTATATGATTCGACAGAATAAGATCTATGTTTACCAAAAGAAAATCCCTAAAAATAAATAATTTATACAAATCAATCTCAAAAACTAAGTTCTTAACCTTTGTACACCCTCTCAGCTCGCACACACACTCAACACCTTGACAAAATTACTAACATTTGTACTTAATTTCTACTAGACAGATGTTTGGAGTTCTAGAGCTTTAGCCCAAAGGAAACTTTTGGGCCTCCATTGAGCCCATTTGAAAATCAAAGAAGTTGCTACTTCCCTCTCTCTGTGTATTATATTAAAACGTAAGAATAAATATTATCGACCATTTGGGAAATTTCCAAAACAAATTTCAGCAAAATCAATGAATTTTTTTAACGATTTCAAGATTTTTGCATGAAAACAACGAAGATCTACATGTAATATTTTGAGCCTAATATAAGGAAATTAACTATATTACCAAATAAATTTAAAGAATAAATATCATGGTCAATATATTTATATCTAACATTTAAAAAGGGTTATAACTTTTTTTTTGTGTTGAGATATAGTTTTTATGTTGAAGAATAGTTTTCATATTCTGAAAACCAAAGTTAGAGTTTAGGATTCTCGGAAGAGAAATATGAAATTTTAATTAACTCTTAGATGATCGAGTAGTTTGAAACAGACTTCTTGACATATTATTCGAGAGATTTTGAATTCGAGTTCATTTTTTATTCCTAATAAAGATGATTATTAGAGTTTTTATCCAGTCAATAATTTTAAAACTCGATAGATTAGTCAAGATGTGTGTAAACTGATTCAAATATTTTTACAACAAACTACAAAATAAGAACAAAGGTCTAATGAGGACAAAAGGTTTTGTAACATTTCAACAATAACAGTGCTCATTTTAACAAAACGGAAAAACGTTTGGGTTGAAAATTCTCTGGATTGAGGCATGTGCCTTTCTATTTAAAGGGACTAGTCAAACAATAATACGTCACCATCCCAGATAAAAATTGATTAGACTTTTGTTTGCTGAAATCAAATCTCAAGGGTTTGTTAAGAAAATAAATAAAAAGTAAAATGAAATGGTCAGCGACTATGTCATCAAATGTCCGAATCCTTTGTGTACTGACATTGACTTGATAATTAAATCCAATGCAAACCCATTATAATTTTTTTATGGTTTATTTCATTTAGACTTCCCTTTTCAAAATTAAAGGCATAAAAGAGTTATATATATATTTAGAAATTTTAATTCATTTTTCAATCATAAATAAAATGGTATTTTTGCAAATAAATGGAGTTTATATA